TATAGGTGCTGGAGCCAGATTGCCAAGTTCAAAGTTTGGCTCTGCTACCTTCTGCCCTGGATCAATTTGAGCAGTTTTCTCAATCCTCTCCTCTATTCACTAATCTGCAAAACAGAGATAACAATTGCTTCTACCCCATAGTTGTTGTTGTGTTGTTTTTTTGTCTTGTCTTACTGTTAAATAAATTAATCCATGGAAAGCAGAACATCACCTGGCACATTTCTCAATAAACTTAGCCATTACCATCAATAGGTCATTAGATGCCAACTGCATGCTTGTACCAACTCCACTTATCATCTGTGCTATTGTTCACTTAATCTTATTTCATTTTATCGGACTCATTTTTTTTTTACATTTAGATAATGTGATTATTAAAATAGAAAGTCCGTATCACTTGCCATACAGAGAAAATAAGTGTGAAAATGAGAACCATGGAAATAAAAGAGGTGTCACCAAATTGTAGCCAGATGCTCTGAGCTTTATGTTTGACCTCCCAGGTCAAACAAAAGAGAGAAGAGCAAATGAAAGATGGTAAAAGCTCCTGAGCATCAAACAAAGAGACCCTCCTGACCAGACCAGAGGCATTGAAACAGAACGGGGAGGGAACCACCTCCTCACAGAGGGTCCCTCTGTGTGTGACCGTGGGGCGTGGGCCACCTAAACTCACCAGGCCTTCTACCTGGAGGCAGGCAATTTGCCACCAGGATTAAGATTCTCACATTTCTTTTGTCAATTTTGCTCAGAAGTATTCACTATTGAGGAAGCATGCCATGACAGTCCCTGTGAGTGGGCACTGAGGGCACAGGGGGACCATGACAGCTACCAGTGCTGTACCTTCAGTGGAGTCAGGACTCAGGGAGGCAGCCGCTGCTTGCCTTTTCTCACTGAAGCATTCAACAAAACAACAGGCGCAGAAGTCGCGTTGGCAGTAAGCATGGGCACTTAAATAGCATTCCCAGTGTGCCAGCCACTTTCCATTATTAATCTGTTTGATCCTCAAACAGCCATGTGAGGTTGATACTGTTATACCCATGTTTCAGATGAGGACATGAAAGTGTAGAGAGTTTAAAGCTCATCTGAGATCATGAGCAGTGGCAGAATACACAAGCCCGGAATTTGTGTTCTTAGCTACGACGCAGTTAGCCCCAGGCCTGGCACGTGGATGTAACACTCTGTACGGGCTAGCATTTCATAACGGTTGTGTGTGTGCCCACACATGTATGTGAAGTGTGCATGTATGTCTCCCTGCTGAGAACTATAGTTCATGCATTCCTCAGAACGACCCTGAGAGTTAGCCTGGGCGTCTCTGTATGTCAGTGACCAGTTCCTGCAAATCACTTGCTCTGCATTTTAAAATGCTGCTTATGGCTCTGGCCAGTATTGCTCAGTGGTTATAGTGTAGGCCCACACACCAAAGGGGCATGGGTTTGATTCCCAGTGAAGGGCATGTACATGGGTTGCAGGTTTGAGCCCCGCTGGGTCGGACACGTGTGGGAGGCAGTCAATATATATCTCTCTCCCACCCTCCCTTCCATTCTCTCTAAAAATCAATGGAAAAATATATCCTCAGATGAGGATTAACAACAACAAAAAAAGGCTGATTAGGAGTCTACTTCCTTTTGTTTCCAATAGGAAACAATTACAGTGCACAGCACTTCAGTCACAAACACCAAATTAATTTCCTCAGAATAATTAAAGCTCAGTGAAAAGCCTATATTATAAAACACAATCACATCAGGATATAAATCCTTAGAGCATGGCTTCCTGACCACCCAACAATTATCTTATTGCTACCAAGCAGTTGTTCTGCATTCAGTAAACCTGTGATGGCTCACTTGTGGCAGACCCTCCCAGGTGACATTCCACAGAACACCTCCCCATGGCTCTGACAGCCAACCAATTTGTTGTGTTTCGAATATAACATGAGACTTTGTTCACACTTCATTTTCTTAAAATCCCACTGAGTTTTGCAATCGTAAACTAAATAATATATGAATATAGTATTTATTATAGATAATGTATATTTAGAAATATATGTTTATAATTTATATAAACATCAGCCAAAAACATTATACAGAGTTTGGGTGCTGAAAACCTGTAGGCATTCTACTGGGAAAATGTTAAGGAAAAGACAGTGAAAATGCCTTGTACTATTGGCATCTCCATTTTGCAGGTGAGAATACTGAGGATTAGCTAGAAGCGATGCAGTGGGATTTGTACTTCAAACTTCTCTGACTTCAGAGCCTTCAATCTTAACCACTATGCTATAGTATCTGTCATCCTCATATATAATTTAACTTTTCAATTACAGTTGACATACAATATTATATTAACTTCAGGTGTACAACCCATGATTAGACATTTTTATAATTTACTAGAGGCCCAGTGCATGAATTCATGCACCGTGAAAGGAATTGTGGGTTGCCAGCCTGCAGTTGGCACAGGGATGGGTCTTGGCCCATCCTCCGTGCCCCCACCCAGCCACTCTTGCTGCAGCCTCTGGTTTCCTCTCTGCCAGCGGCCCTGCTCCTGCTGCATCTGCTCCCACATGCTGGTGGCTCCAGCCCTGCTCGAACCTGCTGATGGCATGTAGTGATTGGGGCTGGCGCCAGCAGCGGGTGAGACTGGGGCTGGTGCTGTCAACAGGTGTGAGCAGCTGCTGCTGCCCCGATCACCTCTCAGGAGCAGGGGGAAGTGGAGAAGCCCTCAGGGATGATCGGGGCCATCAGCTGCCACTCTCACCTGCTGACGGCGCCAAGTGATTGAGACCGGCACCGGGTGGTGGCTGCGGGTGAAAGCGGGGCTGGCACTGGCAGTAGATGCGAACAGGGTCATCACCGACAGCAGTTGCAAGAAGCAGCTGTTGGCCCCAATCACCCCTCAGGACCAGGGGGAGGTGGAGAAGCCCTGAGGGGCGATCAGGGCTGGCAGCCGCCGCTTGTACCTGCTGACGACGCTGGGTGCTTGGAGCTGGTGCCAGGTGCCAGCAGCGGGTGCAAGCGGTGGCTCTGGAACCCCACCTTGGTCTGGTGCCCCCTCTCACCTGCTCCACCATCCTGCCGTGGCTGATGCCCGCCATGTTCCATGCTCTGCCACCTGCTGCCGACACCCGCCGCTGACACCCGCCATGTTCTGCGCGCACCCCCTGGTGGTCAGCACACATCATAGTGAACGGCTGTTCACTTGTTCAGTTGTTTCGCCATTCAGTCTATTTGCATATTAGGGTTTTATATATATAGGTGAAGTCATCACCCTGATAAACCTAGTACCCATTTGACACCATACATAGTTATTACAATATTATTGACTATATTCCCTATGCCATATTCTACATCCTGTGATTATTCTGTAGCTATCAATTTGTACTTCCAAATTCCTTCACCATTTTTGTCACCCTCCCAAATCTCTTCCCCTCTCTGGCAAGTGTCAAAATGTCCTCTGTACCCAGGATTCTGTTTCTGTTCTGCTTATTTGTTTATTTTGTTTTGTGGATTCCACCTAAGTGAAGTCATGTGGCATTTGTCTGACTTATTTCACTCAGCATGATACCCTCCAGGTCTATCCCTGTTGTTGCAGCTGGCAAGATTTCATTCTTTTTTTAATATATTTTATTGATTTTTTACAGAGAGGAAGGGAGAGAGATAGAGAGTTAGAAACATCGATGAGAGAGAAACATCGATCAGCTGCCTCCTGCACACCTCCTAGTGGGGATGTGCCCGCAACCAAGGTACATGCCCTTGACCAGAACCGAACCTAGGACCCTTCAGTCTGCAGGCCGACACTCTATCCACTGAGCCAAACTGGCCAGGGCCTTTTTTTATAGCTGAATCATATTCCATTGTATATAGGCACCACTTCTTTATCCATTCATATATTGATGGACACTTCAGTTGCTTCCATATCTTGGCTGTTGTAAATTCTCTCATCCTTATTTTAATATCACAATGGCCCCACTCGAATGCTACCATTGTTTTATTATTATGATTCACTGTTACTACTATTATAGTAAACTGACACTTACCTAGCTTTCATGATGTTCCAGGTACTGCACTAAATACTCCACAGATATTATTTATTTACTTCTCACATCAACCTCTGATTGAAACCTATATTATCCCCAACTAAGATATTTAAAAAAATGATGCCAAAACCGGTTTGGCTCAGTGGATAGAGTGTCGGCCTGCGGACTGGAAGGTCCCAGGTTCGATTCCGGTCAAGGGCATGTACCTGGGTTGCGGGCACATCCCCAGTAGGAGATGTGCAGGAGGCAGCTGATCGATGTTTCTCTCTCATCGATGTTTCTAACTCTCTATCTCTCTCCCTTCCTCTCTGTAAAAAATCAATAAAATATATTTAAAAAATAGTTTAAAAAAAAATGAGACTTGGAGAGGTTTGGGCACTTGCCCACTGCACATAACTTGCTTAGATAATTTAATCAACCAGAAGGCCATCACCAAGTGCCTACTATGTATTCATTTACGCACAGGGTTATTTAGTGCTGTATTACTGGACAAGGAACTTCATAATAGTAGGATTAGGCTCATGGCTTTGGTTCAAAGGCATTACGTATTTTACTAGTCCATATTTCAATTTCGTTTCTGTAATAAAACCATGCAATTGTATCATGACCTTTGTCTCACCCCAAATAATATGGTGTAACTTATATTTTAGACCTTTATTTAGATATGCATATGCATTTGTTGCTAAGTTCAAGTAAGGCTGAGTTCAGTTGACTGATGTTGTCCCAGAAAGTAGAATTCTTAGGATGCATAAATGATAGCTGATGAGGCCAACGCAACTGCTTGAAGAATTATAGCTTATAGAGTTGCTTGGCAGATGAAATCACTGGACTAATTAGAAAATAATGCATTAGGCTGTGCCTAGAAAACACGCAAAGTAGTGGGAGCAGAGCTGCATTCTGAGTTCCTATGGGATGCCAGTCACAATAAAGCGTGTGCCTTGTGTTCCTTATCTTTTCCTTTTTTTCCTTATCTCTACAGCCCAGAAATTGAAACAGACCCTGGAGCCTTGTGATACTGAGTACCCAGCATTTGTCTCCGAGCGCACCATCAAGGAGACCTCAGGGAACATTGCTTGTGAAGACTGCTCCAAGTAAGCCCCCCACCTCTGCTCAGTGAGAACTTCCCCAGATGGGCTGATGCGGGGGGCATGCCAGGATTCCCCAGAGAGAGAGGGAAACATGGCTGCCCTCTTGTGTGAGGAAGCATTTCTATCAGCTTGGGAGAAACGTCGCTTTGTTTTAGTAGAAAGGTCGCTGAGAGTTTGGGAAGCATTCAGAATGCATCCTGGAATATGGGAGGTTTCAGTTCTCTTTGTTGATGGTTGGAAGAAGTCCTCATTGGTGTTTCTCCAATTGACAGTTGGCAGTTTCGGCTACCTGTTCCAGGTCTCTTTACGGAAAGCACCGAATCTTCAGATTCACTGAAGTCTGATGGTTTACTATGGGTTTCCCTGACTACTAATATGGGTGGGCCTGTTTTTGAAACAGTTTTATTGGTCATTTGGGGGTTCTTTACCTCTTCATTCCTGTATTTCTACTGGCAGTTCTCTGTTCGGTGGTGAATCTATTCATACTGATTTGAGTTTTCTTTCTGTGTTTTGGACACCCCCCCCTTTTTTTTTGACGTTATATGGTTTGTATATGTGTCTTCCTATTCCTGGGTCTGGCTCTTCACATTTATGGATGCCCTTAGATGAGCAGAAATTTTCTTTCACTTTTATTTTATTTTAGTCTAATTTATTCTTTCTTCTATGATTTGTCTATCTTGTACCTTGTTTCAAAAATTAGTCTGTGCCCTAATATAATACTGTTCCCATGTATTTTCACCCTGCATGCTTTAAAGGGCTACCTTTCACATTTAGGACTTTAATCCCCTCTAGGGAGGGGGGGAGGGAGGGAGGGAGGGAGGGAGGGAGAGGGAGAGGAGAGGAGAGGAGAGGAGGGGAGGGGAGGGGAGGGGAGAGGAGGGGAGAGGAGAGGGGAGGAGAGGAGAGGAAGGTGTAGGAGCATGAGGTAGAGTCTAGTTTGGTCTTTTCTATGTACTTGGCTTTATAACCACCACTTTATATTAAATAGTCTTTATTTTCCAATAGATTATGATACCTGTGCCATGGGCTGAGTTCCCATCTATATGTAGATCTGGTCCAGGTTTTATGGTTTGTTAATACCTTTGTCAGCACCCTGTTTCTTTAATTATTATGGCTTTATAATATGACTTGTTATTTAGAACAAATATCATTTCATTATGCCTCCCTCTTTACTCTTTCATATTAATTTTGGAACCAGCTCATTAATTCCCATGCTAGGGTTTCAATTAATTTTGCTATGTTATATATAAATTTGAAGATAATTGCTATCTTTTATATTGGACCTTCCTTTCCCCTTATAAACTAAATATATCTGCTTATTTATATGTATCTTTCTATGCCTTTCAATACAGTTTTATAATTTTATGTTAGATTTATACTTAGAGAGTTTATAGTTTTTCTTGCTAACATAAATAGTACATATTTGAAACTACATTTTCTAATTGATAATTGCTAGCATATGAGAATATCACTGATTTCTGCACATTGAGTATCTTATATCCCACAAATTACTAGATATTGTTTAAGATCTGACAGTTTGTGTATAGATTTTCTTGGGCTCTCTGCATAGACAGTAATATCACTTGTGAAAATTTTTCTTTCTAATCATTATACTTAATTATTTGTTTTATTACACCAGAATTCTGATACATAGAAGCAATGAGAGTAGGTGACCATGTCTTATTCCTAATTTAAAGGAATTGCTCCTAATAATCCATATTAAGTATAATGTTTGCTACAGGGTTTTTAAAGTTGTAGTGAAATATAAATAATATAAAATTTACCATCATAACTATTTTTGAGTGTAAAATTCAAGTGCATTAAGTAACTCACAATGATGTGCACCCACAACTGTTATCCATTTCCCAAATTGCTGTAGGTTTTTAGTAGTTAACCACTTATTAAGTTTAAAAAAGTCCTCTTCAAGAGTGTTTGGTGCTGCTGGTGTTATTACTTGAAACTTGAATGGATGTTGAATTTTATTTTAAAAAAATTCTACATACATTACTAAAATAATTTTAATTTTTAATATGTTGAGTTACAGGGATATAATTAAAATTGTTTTCAATCATGACACATATATACCACAAATATCTTTAATAGTAGATGGGTTGTTGAATGTGAAAATATACTTGCTTTCCCATGATGGACTTTCATTGTGAAGGTTACAAAAAGCAACACCATATTTCAAGATTCATCTGCTCATATTAGATGGTGAGTTTATTGCATCTGTGCTCAAAAAGGAGTGCGGGCTACACTTTTCCTTTCTTGTGCTGTCATTTGGCTTTGCTCTTACCTTCATTTTATCGTCACAAAATTACTTGGAGAATATTTCCTCTCAAATATCTTAACATTTTGTATAAGACCAAATTATCATTTTCTGGTAGGTTTGGTAAAACTTATAAAACTATCAGTGACTGATGGGTTTTTATTTGTTCATCTGTTTTTGTGTGAGTACATTTTCAACTACTGAATTCATTTCTTTAGTGGTTAGCTATCTCTCTGGAATTTCTGTTTCTTTTTGAAATGACTTTGGTGATTATATTTCTTAGAAAATCGCCTATTTCTTCTCAGTTTTCAAGGTTATTGCATGCATTTGTTCATAGTGTTATTGTTTGATTAAAAATGCTATCTTATTGCGGATTTTGCCCCCTTTTAAATCAATCTCTTTCTCTCTCCCTCCTTCTTCTTTCTCTCTCTCTCTCTCTCTCTCTCTCTCTCACTCACTCACTCACTAAAGTCCCCTCCCCCATGTCTCATGTTTGTTTTGTTTATCTTTTCAAAGAACAATCATTTAGATTGTTTGATTATTTCTGTTGTTTCTTTGAATTTTTATTTTATTTTTTTTGCTTCTTATCTGTATTATTAATTATTACCTTTCTTCTGTGTTTTGGGAGTTTACTCTGTTGTTGTTGTTTTTTCTTCTAACATTGTGTTTGCTGCCTAACTTTATCAGCTTCATCCAAATATATATAATTTCTTTCTGCATTCCAGTTTATCTCCATAAATTTAATATAAGGCTTTCATTATTATTTAACTCTAGCAGTGTTATAATTTTCACTATTTTTATCTATAAATAGTTTTAAGATTTTCTAATATGTTGGATTTGAGACTTTTTTTTATTATTGATGTCTAGTTAAATGGCATTGTGATCTGTATAACATGTTTTTTAGCATGTGTGGAGACTTGCTTTGTATTCTAGTACTTATCCATGTATTTTTGAAAGCAAGTTTCATTCTCTAATAGCTGGGTACAGGGATTAATATATTAATAAGTAACTATTGGCTCAAATGTCTTACTTCGTTTCAAAGTTTTTTAAAGGCTATTTTATTTTATATTTTAATTGTTTTCAATTAGAGTTTACATTCAATATTTAGGGAGTGTCTGTTTTAGATGGCAATTAATCTCTTATAAGACTTAGGAATTTTTCAACTCATTTGTGTCATTCAATTCATTTTGCTTTCTATATTTTGAAGCAATGTTACCATGGACATCTCTGTTCAGGATTGGTACAGCTTGCTAATAAATCATTCCTTTTATCATTATGTAAAACCTGTATGAAAGTGCTTTATGCTTCCATGTCTATTTTGTTTGCTAATGGTATAGGCATAGTAGTTTTCCTCTTGGTAACATTTCCTAGGCATGTTTCCCACCCTCTCCCCTCAATTCTCAAGTATTTTTTTTTTTTTTGTCATTTTGCATTAGGATTTGTCTTATAAATAGAACATAGCTGGATTTGAAATACCTGTCTATTATTGGTAGGTTTAAGTCTGGATTTATTTCCATTTTATATGCTTTCTATTCTTCATTCTTTATCTTTGCCCTCCTCCTCTTCCTCTTTCTTCTTCCAATAGAATGTTTACCAATTTGTTTACTCACCATTGCTTTTTTTTTTTTTTTTTTTTTTTTTGCCATTGCTTTTTTTGTTTTACAGTATTTTGGAAGTTTTTCCAGGAATGTTCTGGGAGTGATAAATTCTCCCATTCTTTGTCTAAAACACCTTATTTCATAGGTACTCTGCAGAGATAATTTAACTTCATACTATCTAAATTGAAATTTTTAAAGATACCATTCCCTTGTGTTCTAACTTTTAGTTTTGCACCTTTATAAATAGGCTAGTTTCCCCCTCTCTGATGGCTTTTAAAGCATTACTCTCTCTTTAATGTTCTGAAGTTTCACTGAAGTATGTCTAGATATAAATTCATTTCTGTTTTTTATGTACTTTATCCTGGATAATGTCCTTCAACTTAGAGTTCATTAATTTCCTTTTGACTGTGTCTAGTCTGCTGCTTAGAGAATGCATTGAGTTTTTAATATAGATGTCTTTCCTTTTATTCTAGAGGGTTTATTTGCTTCTTTTAAAAATCTGTGTATTCTTTTATAAAGAGTCTTATTATTAAATTTCCTATACTTAATTATAAAGAACTTTTAAGGTTATTTTAGCAGTTTAAACTTTTAGGGCACCAGTCTCTTGTTGCTTGTGTCTGCTTTCTTTAATGGCAGATTTTTGCCCATGTGTTTTGTCATTTTTGACTGTAAACTGATCTTTACTATTAATTATTATTTTTGTGGGAACAGACTAGAGCTTGAGTTTCTCTTCATGAGAGGTTTATATCTGGGCTTCAATCATGTATCCTATTGGTATTGACTGCGCCTGGGAATAATTGTTATGTAAGCTTTTGTATTTAGGAGTTTGTGCATCATATAATTACAGTAAATATTTTTCCTAGGCAGCATGTACTTTAGGCATAACGTTTGATTTCTCATGCTGATATCAGAGCCCAGACAACACCACTTAGCTATAAATGTACAAGTTGGCTTTTAGTATCTTCCCTTGTAAGTTTTTTTTTTTTTTTTTTTTTTTTTTTTTTATTTAAACATGCACTTTTAGTTTTACTATTTCATCCAGCATGTCTAAGTGTTTAGAGCACAATGGCTTCCACACTTGCCAAACCACCATGTCACGGTTTACTTCTGACTGAGGACTTCCGAGAGCACCCACA